GGGAATTCGAGAATATTATTAAAGGCATTTCTAAAAGCAGATAAGAAAAGCTTAATAAGATTAAGACTATAGTAAATAGTCTAGAAACCAAGAATTAGAATAGAATTATACTATATAGTAAAGCTTTTAGCTAATATATTAATAATATCTATAATAACCTTAATAAAAACGTTTATAAGAAATTATATTTCCTTTTTAAGATAAAAGCTTTAGTATATAAAGCTATTTAGTTAATTAATAAAGCTACTTTAGAGTATATTAAGAATAAGAAGTATTAGAATACTAGTATATTTACTAAATCAGATATTACTAAGGTACTTAAGTATACTAAAGCTATTTCGGAACCTAGAGAATTAGTTTTTAAGCTATTATTAGCTAATAATCTCAAGGCTAGATAGTATATTTTTAATACTTCCGGAATTCTAATTAAGAAAGTTTATAGTAATAAGCCTTTTCCTGCTTTCCGAGATAAGCTTATTCTTTAGGCTCCTATTATAATTTTAGCTTTAATTCAGTCGTATTTAGCTAATAAAAATAAAGCTAATTTAATAAAGCCTAGTAAGAAAACTACTAGTAAGACTAGTAGAACTAGTATAACTAGATAAGAAGAACCTGGCAAGAAAGGAAAGCAAGCTAAGCCTAAGACTCCTAAAAAATAATAAAAATCTGAGTACTAGTCTAAATATAAGACTAGTAAAATAAGAGAAAATAAAGACAAAAGTAAGAAGAAATTCTTTACTCTAAAGAGAAAAATACTATCTAGAAAAACTCCCGCATTTATACCCAGAACTAAGAAGCAGAAAACTAAGGATATTAAGTCCGGGGAACTTAAAGAAAATATCTAATATACTTATAAGATACTAGCTAAATAAAAGTTAATACTTACTTAGTAAGATAAGTATATTTTTAAAGGGATATATAGTAGTATTTTAGAATCTATTTATAAGCGAGAATACTATAAAATTACTAATAAATTCCTTAAAGCTTCCTATATAGTATATATTTAGTAGCTTACTAATACTTTCTCTATTAATATACGAGATTTCTTTTTTAAGATCTAGGAAATTAAGAAATATAAATATAAGTACTATATTTCTAATTAATTCTGCCCAAATTTATAGTTCTAATTTAATACTATAATTCTTATTCCTAAATCTAATATTACTAATTTAGATATAAATAATTATATTTATAAGAAAGATTACCTAAAGTAGATTAAGAAGCTTAGTATTCGAGAGCTCTTAATAAAGGAAATAGAAATATTATAGTTCTATTTCCGAAAAAATAATATATTAAAGTATAGAGATCTAGATAATAGCTACTTTACCTTAGTCTTTTAATTCTTAATAGCAGATCTATTAATATAGCTTGGATTTCACGAGGTATTAAATAAGTATCCTATTTACCTAATTACTTATTTTTAGCTAGCTAGATACTATATTCCTAGAAATATTAATTATAATTAGTATAAAGGAAATACTAAAGATCTAGTTACTACTAAAGCTTTAAATAGCAAATTTTACCTTAGTAAAGAGTATTAAAATATTAATTATATTTTCTTTATAAACCGTAAGAAGGCTACTGTTTTTAGTAAGAGATTCTTTAAAGACATTAATTATTTCTCTATTTCCGATAAATTTAAGCCAGAAATAGCTAAGAAAATAAGCAAGTATTTACTAAAAATAATAAAAGAAAAGACTTCGAGTATAATATATTTAACTAGATAAATAAATACCTTTAACTAGGTAATCTATAAGTCTGGAATTATAAACAAGTAATAATTCTCGAATAGTAAGTAAGTTAAAGAATAGCTTAATAATAATTTACTACTTAATAGGCCTTTTATTATAATTCTAATAAGCCTAGTTACTATTAAAAATAGAATATACGAAAATAGAGTCTCTTATAAAATTATTAAAGCCTCTTATCTAGAGCTTTTCTCTTTTATTAAAAATTAATTTAAGAATAATATAAATAATACGAAATTCGAAAGAGCTATTTATTTAGAATATATTAGTATAATTTATAATATGATTTACTATAATAAGCCTCCTTAATACCTAGTAGTAAAGGCGGAAATTAAATAATAGTTAAAGGCAAATACTAATTAATATAGAGAACTATATTAGATTTAATATAAGAATACGGTTAAGCGAGTTCGGATTACCTTTAAGCAAGTTTGGGAGTATGAAATAAGACTATTTAAGGGTAATAAGTTATATTTTAGGTATATAAAAAAGAAATTAGATTAGCTAATAAAAAAGAATTCTAATTATTTTATTATTTCAGACTCTAAATAGGATTTTTCTATTATTTTTAGTATTTAGGGAACAAGTACAAATAAATAGGGGATCGGATATAGTATAGCAGGCCATATTCTTTAAAAATCATATTATTTTAGTAGTTTTAAGGTTTAGATTATATAGTAAAGGCTATGGCCTTTTATATATAACTTGCGAAAATTATATAAGAAAGCTAGTTTTTCTATAGTCTTAGAGAATAATCCCTTATAAGTATTTAATTAATTAAGCTTTTATATACTATATACTATTTATACTTTACTATTTATGCTTCTAATTTATTATTTTACTATTAAGTTATGTTTTATATTCTAATATACTTTATGTGGGTTTTTGTCTTATTATAGTTTCCTTCTTATAGCAAACTAATATAAAAGATAATATAGAGGCATATTATATAACTTTGGAAAAAGCTTAATTAGTAATTATTATATATTGAAATAATAAATCTAGTAATTAAAGGCTATTCCGAGAATTATTTAGCTCTAGAATATTATCTTAGTAGAACTATAATTATTACTAGAATTAGTATAGTATAAGCTATATTATAATATCTTAATTCTATAAAGGAAAGGTCTATTTAGGCTTAGCTTTATAGAATAGGTATTATGAATTGGATTTCGAGTAGAATTAAACTAATTATAGGCCGATTTCTTAATTATTAGTAAAGTCGAGAAAGACTAGAAATTAGTATAATAAATGAGTTCTGGCAAAAGCCTAAAGAGGCTAAGATTTTATATATAATACCGAATTATTTGATTTTAGAATAACTTATAATAGTTATAAATAGTAAAGCTAATATATAAATAACAATAGCCTAGTTCTAATAAAAAGATATATACGGGCTATACTTAAGCCACCAAATTTCCCTTACTAAATATTATATATATATATATATATATATTTAACTGGTTTGCTTTTTAATTATCCTTAAAAGTACAAGATTTGTTTTATTTGCATTTTCTCTATTAAATCTATTACTTTTTAAGTAAAACACTTTCTGGATTACTAAATCCAGTCATTTAATCTATTATTTAACTCTAGTAATAGCCAGAAGATATATAGGCTTGCGGCTATTCTTTTCTGTTTTAGATATTAAATTAAGGCAAATAGAAATATAATAATAAGGGCTAAAGATATATTAAAAGCCTATATTAAAAGTAAATTATTCTAATTTATTACTTTAGATTATAAGTATAATCTTAATAATAATAATAGTAAATTAAATAGAAATCTTTAATCTTTCGAGAAGCAGATAGCTTTAAGTTCGAAGATCTTAACTAAGGCCTCAAAGATCAGATTTATTCTTTAGTACCTGAAATAGCTAGCTCTTTATAGGGCTAGACTATAAGTTAACCGAATATAATTAGGATTAGATAAATATTAGGGTAAGAGTTAAGGTAAATATACTAGCTATTCTTATATATAGAAGTAGTCTATTAATTATATATAGATTAACTAGTAATTCTTAATAATAATAATAACTTAAATAAGATATATATTAGAAGTCAGGCTAAAGGCATTTCCGGTAAAGTTAATACCGGATATATTAAACTGGATACAAGTCTATATAACTCTTTTCTAATCTCAGAACTTGCCTTAGTACTAATAGAGTCTATTAATATATTTAGTCTATTATATAACATTGTGAAAGGCTACTATATTAATAAGATAGCCCCGGAACTTGGGTCTTATAAGTAGTATAGTATGCCTTTTGCTTCTATATAAGTCTAACTATTGCAAGTTTAGGCCTACTAGTAAGATATCGGCAGTATTATTCGAAGTATATTAGTGGAATCTATACTCTATTCCCTTCTCAAGTTTTCCGATAGCAGTAATAATGAATAAACAGATAAGAATATGGCTGAATTAGAAAAAGAACTAGGGTTGGCTTTGGAAGAATATAAATAGAGTTATTATTGGCCTATATATTTACTTCCCCAAGTTTTTATTAGCCGAGGCACTATAGAACGAGATCTAGAGTCGAGAATACAGCAAAACCACTAGTAGTTAACCAGAAAAGCTACAAGATACTTATTAATATAGTATTTCAGCTCAGGACCTTGAGTAAAAGCAGCAGAAGACTTAGGTAACTATAGAATTACTTGAAAGAAGGGAACTTAATAAGGAAGCGCTAGTAGAAGAAGCGGGAGCGTTAGAGATATAGCAATAGGGGAAGCTTATAGGGCAGCAAACTATAGATAATTATCAGAATCAGGTAGAAGTAGATAATATAACCGATCCTATAGATAAGGAGGTTATTGAGGCTTTGCCAGCTATATAACTAGAGATTGACTATTGCTATTTTTGACTATATGGGATATATATCTGGCAGCTTATTGGATACCAGATAAAGATAACCCAGTACTAAGTTATATGGGGGAACAGCCAAATAGCTCTGATTCTTGGGTTAATAAAGACAATATATAGATATTAATGCTATAGCTGCCTTGCAAGCGATCCTCTCAAGACTTGGTCCTATAGGTAGAAAGAGACATTATATGTGTTTACTATAGACGCTCTAGCAGGTATAGCAAATACAAGAAGATTTTCGAGTACTTGGTCGATAAGCTCTCTATATGGATTATTGAAGATTAACTGAGAATCTCACTCAGTTCTATATTACTTACTGGGCTTAAAGATAAGTAATTACGCCACGAGCGTCCCCGTTTTTGGAAAATTTGAGGAACTGATTGCTGACGGAATATATCTTAAACAGTGTCTTCTACAGACCCCCTGAGCCTAGCAGAGTCTGAGGCCCATCCCAAGCATCTAGCGACTCTGGTCAACGACGAGCACTGCCATGCTCCAAGAACCCCTCGAAGTCAATCTACTGCCTCCACCAGGCCGGGCACGGAGCGGCGATCCTGATGCAGGGAAGCGGGGCAGGAAACGGGGGCACCAGGACCTGCATGCTGAGACCCCCCTCCACCGCTCGCCGATCCATCTCCTCCGCCGCCTCGTACTTCCCTTGATCCCGCAGCACTGCAACCAGGTTGCTCACTCTGGTCAGCGAAGAGGGGTGCTCGTTCCCCAACGCCTTCTCTCTCACCTCCAACGCTTGCCGGCTCATCCCCTCTGCAGTCTCGTACTTCCCTTGATCCTGCAGCACCAACGCTAGGATGCTCATGCGTACATCAATCCGTTAGGTCTCGTGATTGATGTGTTGTTCACAGCACACACGCAATGGAATAACTGTTTTAGGACTTGTTAATATCTTAGCCTTCTTCTTGTAGGAGCTATTATCACGTCTCCTCCTCATATAAGCAAGTATTGCAATGAAAGTCAGAGGTTCATGCCTTCAAAATGGTGGTACAACAGCTTATATGATCTTGAATTTTGTGCGTGTGATTCTACCGGCTACCTCACCATACGAGCATCAACTGAATACCTTAAGAAGCAGAGTAAAGTACTTGAACATCCTTGTCTAGTTGAAACAATCATAATTGAAATCTTAGAAAGCCTTGAAATCGTGGTTAGCCACCGCCTCAACAAGTATAGTGCATACATACCGATCTTTTCAATCACTATGATAATCCATATATAAAGATTTAATTTAGTCGTAGGTGAGAATGCAGTGGTGCACTTAGAGATCAGCTAAGCGGACTGCCCCACCGATGGCGAAGTTATCTCCGGCAGGTGCAAAGGCCCCCAGTTCAACGAGTGCACACTCCAATACTTCAAATACTGGATCAAGACACTTCGGTTATGCATTCCACCAAGGTAGGAACAATTCACAAGCAGAAGCCATTAGATGCTGGATGACGCTCGCTAATACATAGGCTCTCCCGGCAAGAATTATTAGTTGAAAGGGCGAGGAGCACTGCTCGTAATTATTTCCCAAACGAACGGGACAGGTATTAATATTCTATAAGCTAATACTCAAGGTCTATATAAGTATATTATTATAAATAATACAAGAGTTATGAGAGTAATAGAATATTAATTATTTATAAAAAGAAATTAGTAAATAAGGAATATAGTATATTAATATTCGCTAAAATAATATAAGATACTATTAAATTCTATAATTTATTTTATAAGATATATATTAGAAGACTATATATATAATTAAATAAAGATCTTTATTTTAATTATTATTAAGAGATTTAAGTAAAGAGGAAGTATAGTATCTTAATCTTTATTTAAATATTATAAAATACTCTTAAATCTTTAAATTAAGTTTTTAAGAGCTATATTAAAAGCTTATATATATTATTATTAAATTAAATCTTAGTATACTCGATTACCTTTAATAATAATAATCTTTATCTTAGAATTATAAAGTCTTAATTATTATTAAAATAATTTAAGATATTCTTAAATTATATAATATAATTTTTATAAGTTATATTAAGAGCTTATATAAATTATTAAGTCTATATTTTAATATACTTAATTACTTATAATAACGATTATATTTATATTAAATATATAATATTCTAAACTTTATTAAAATAATATAATATATTTATAAATCTTATTATTTACTTTTTAAGGTTTATACTAAAATATTAAATATATATATAAGTTAATATTTATATATTTAAGTCTTTTTTTTTTAGTAATAATTACTTTTATATAAAAGTATATAATTTTAATTTCTTATTATTTAATTTAATATATAAATAAAGCCCTTTATATTATTTATAATATTAAGATAAGCTTTATTTATATACTCTTATTTCTTTATTAATATACTAGATATAAGAGAGTATTATATATATTTATTTCTAAGCCTTATATAATTATTCTTAGAGAAGAAGATTATATTAGCTTTTAGTAATAGTAAATATTTAGTAATAACTACCTTTAGTTAAAGACTTATAGTTTTAAGTTTTTACTAATATAATAATATATAGGATAGAGTGTTCTATAAGAACTTATAATATATATAAGCGTGGTTCGGGAATAGACGTTTCCGGTGGAAAGTGTGGTGGAAGCGAACACTTTAATAGAACTACGGCTTCCCGAAATTACAGACTTCAGCACCGCGATCTGCATTGCGCCCCCAGCTGTCAATGTATGTACTGTAGCGCTGCGGGAAGAGGGGGGGGATCAAGAGTCGCTGAGATTTGGAAAAGGGATTGCGCCAGGGTGGGCTCCGATAAATTATCGCCCATGATAATCGATAACTAATCACTATCGTGCGATCGATCTATTATCTATTATCGAGCCTATCGGAGCCCACCCTGGATTGCGCATACGTTTCCGTTTTGTGTCTGCACGTATGGCGGCTAGAATTGTCCTTTTTAAAATCAGTGAAGATGTCTCCCGGCCAAGGCTGACCAGCCTGCACTAACCGATCGATCAAAAGGAAGAAAGAAAACAGCTCGATGGAGAGCTTGACCAAAGTTGTGGATCCCCGTACGAGTGACATCTGCATCCTTTATATGTATGACTTGATTTTGGCGAGACTCCAGCTACCTCTTAAGTAGTGAATTGACTACCAATGAATATTTTCATGGGACACAAGCTTAGATTCGTCGTAGGTTTCGATAATCCATCCATACGTGCAAGCAGAGCAAAGCATCGAGCGAATCGCTCTGCAATTAAAACGGCTCCCTTCCACTTTCAAAAATCTTTAAATCATCCCGCCCGAAGATGTGACAATAGCATGGAATTATGAGAGAAGATTGCCACGTCGTCGCTCTGCTACCTGAACAGATCAACTCGGAGCCGGCCAACTTTTTTCCTTCCTTCAATACTACAACCAATGTCAAGGCGCACCGAATCCGTCGATCACTCGCTCGTGAACCGCCTTGGCGTTGACGGATAAGCTATTTTGGGCCTACTTGCATGAGGCTGAGAACACGGAGGTAGGGTGGACAAGACGACGAAAGGCGCCTGACCGTGCAGTGCATGTCTGAAGGAATGTCTGCATGTTACAGAAGCAAGTAGGTGGCGCTGTCTGTGTGGATTCTGCCGACTCAGTGAGGACAAGCCTCGCGAAGCAAGTGAGGGCTGAGGCCGTCCAGGTTAAGCGAAGCGAAGCGACCAGAAGAGCAGAGTACAGCCGCATGCGAAACTAGCTTTAAAATCGATTTTTTAGCGAACACCAAAAATCGTGTGGGGAGCGAAATCGCGATTCCACCACCCTTTGGCCACGACACCAAATATTGTCTAAACTATAAGAGCTCTTAGAATATCAAAGTTTGATATATTGCGATTAATTTGAGCCTAATAGCTCTATTTTTAAATAAGTAATAGTAGAGTTATTTAAGAAAGTAATTTTGCCTTATTTTTAAGGCCGTGAGAACCCCTGTTGAACTAGCTAGCTTGGCTAGCATCCTTTCCTTCCACTCCAGGTTCAACCACTAATTCAGTTCGTCCGATTATTGGGTATTACTTACGTACGAATACACCAATCGTTTATTAGTATCGCCATTCGATTACGTTCCTTAAACGTGCGTTCAGGAATCAGATTGGTAAATCGTTCCCACCACCAAGTAAGTGCGGGGTAAATTACATGGTGGGGTGGAAATCAGGAATATAGCTAGGGAACCCATTCCCTCTGTTTTTTATGGAATTACTCTCCTGTATCTAGTCAAAACTAGTCATTCTATAGATTGTTAATCTCTAATATATCGATTTTCCACCGATAAATCAATCCCAGTTCAATAGGTTATAAGCCCGGATAGCGCCTACTAAGTGCTTTCACATAATCCTCAGGTCACGTGACCTCACTTAGTATTTACCTGTCTATTTCCGATTTTATTAAAATTATTAATTCTATTGAATTGTACCTATTACATTAGCCTTGTATTAGCAGAATTTACCAAAAACATAGCCATTTTTGGGTAAAAGTTCTCCGCAAAATCCGCTATGCCAGATAGCAAAAAATCAGTATATATTACCTATAAGGGAACAAAAATCGAACCTCTCTCAGATAGTAATATTTACTCCTGGATAGACAATGCCATAAATATCTTTATTATTAAAGATCTATAATAGTATATTAACCCAGATTAAGCTCCTGCTCTTGTGGAATTGGCCCAAAAGGATAATAAAATAATTGCTCGTTAAGTAGTAATTGCTCGTATAGTACTAAATCTACTTATTACCCATAATACCTGGTAATAATTTAAGGAAATTAAGCTTATATACCAGATCTGGACCTAGATTTAAGCTAAAGCGAACTAGCTAAAAGCTCAGAAAGAAGCTCTATATTTTTAATAGTTAGAAACTATTACGTTTAATTCTAATAAGGGAATGGACGACTTTATTAACTATATTAGCCGCAAAGTAGCTGAAATCAAGGGTATAAACGGGTCGATTTCGGACGTTTCTATATCCGGATATCTGATTTGTGGCCTTCTAAAGAAATATGACCTTTATAAACCCTTCCTGAATTCTATTAGAGCTAATATTAATAAACTAAAGCTGGAATTACTTAAAGCAGACGCTTTTACTAAGGAGGACAAACTTAGGAGTAAAACCCCTAATTTCACTTCTAATTTTACTCTAAAAGCACTAGCTACTTAAGGAAATTAATTAGGAAATTAGTTCAAAAATAAGAATAAAAAACCGAAGTATCCCAAGGATCCAAATGCCTACTATATGTTCTATAAGTATAAAGGGCACGATATTAAGGACTATGTGAGCTATAAATTAGTTCAGGAATTCTATAATTCTAAAGGAAAAGATACTAATTTTATTAGTAAGGAGGTGTCTTCTAATCCCAAAGTACCTGTATACCCTAAAGCATATACTGCTATAAAGTCAATAATTAGTACTTTTTTTAGTAGATAGTTATATAATAATAATTCCACAAATATCTAATATATTAATTCGGGTGCTATGAACTATTTTATAAGGAGTAAAAGCTCCTTTATTACTTATAAAGAGATTAATCTATTTCTAATTATTCTTAGTAACAAATTAATAATTCTTATTAGGGGCAAAGGAACTATTCTTTTAGCTACCTAACTAGAGCTAAAAATATAGCTTAATAATATACTTTATAGCCCCTAATTCCGGAATACCTCCTTATTATTAATTCCCAAAATTATATAAGCTAGAGGTAATATTATATTTTCTTAAGGAAATATTTGAATTATTAATAAAGGAATAACTATTATAACTAGTACTTTTAGCCCCTCTATAGGGCTATATTAGCTTGACTAATTTGGTTTAGGGCATGCCCTAAAAGCGTTAAAATCGGAAGCTTTAGCCTCTCTAGAAACATAGTACTAGTAATATAGATATCTGAATATAAAGTATATCCTGGAATTAGTAAATCACGTTTATGGGCTTTAATTCAAGAACTAAAACCTATTTAATTATAATTTATATAATATGAGTAAGATTACTAGGGCTAGTATAACTAAGCTATACCCTGAAAAACTACTCCCAGGGAAGTATATTACAATTAACTTATAGGGGCTATTAAGGGTTCTATCCCTTAGTAAGAACTCCTATATACTTTTTACTACTTGTAAGAGTACTAAATATTATATGGTAGTATATAATTCGGATAGAAAGGGCTACTTTACAGATCTTTAGTATTAAGTAACCTTCTCTAAAACCTAAACTAGGAATAAAGTCAAGCGCCTATACCTTAATAATACTCCAGAATTTGTATTAGGTCAAGTCAAGAACTAGTATAAATTAAAGAGTATTTGTCTGGAACTAATAACTACTTATATACCTAAATAGAATAGTGTTTCTGAACGTAGTATGCATATGATTATTAAAGCGGAGCATATGAAGCTAGAATAATTAGGCTTACTATACGAGTTTTGGGAGGAAGTAGCTATATATGGGATTTATGCCTATAATTAATGCCACTTGCCTAAAATTGGTATGACTCTATATAAAGCGTTCTATAGGGTTAAACCGGACGTTTCTAACCTACGGATATTCGGTTCCTTGGCGTATGTCTATATCCCCAAGGAAATAGCCTCATGGTACAAGCATATGGCCAAGGCCTTTAGGGGTATTTTTACTAGCTATAGTGGTTCCGGATATTGTATTTGGAACCCGCACAAGTAGATATTTGTTATTTCTAACTATTATACTATTAAAGAACATGTTAAGGGAGTATATCTCCTAAATCTAGCGTCCTAGCTATATAGAAGACTAGTTAGTACTACTAAAGATTATGATAATACTTCTAGTAATAATACGTATAATCCCGATATAATTTATAGAGATATTATTATTATTAATACTAGAAATTAATAGCTTAATATTTTATTAGAAGATAATCAAGAAAATTATTCTAATATTAAAGGGAATACTACTCAAAGCGCGTCACGTGACCAAATTAAGGATACTTCTAGTCTAAGCAAAGCTCCTGAACCCCTATTAGGGAATAATAACCAAGAACCAGAACCGCCTATAAGTAGTTCTAATTCAGGTTCTATGATTTAGGAGGCGCCTATACCTCCCGAAATAGTTCTAGTCAGGAGTAAATTAATCCCTAGATATCCGAAATTGACTAGAATTGCCGAGAAATAGCCTAATCCTTGTGCTTTGCTAGTTATTAACCAGAATACCAAAGCTTCCAAAATTCTAATATTAATTAATAAAGCTTTTACCGGTCCTAATGCCTATCTTTGGAAACTTTCTATTAGGAAGAAGTTATAATCCTATATATATAATTATATATGGGATCTAGTAATTAGAAAATACTAAAAAACTATTAGGTATTACTAGTTATTCAAAATTAAGGCTAATGGGTACTATAAATTAAGGCTAGTAGTACAAGGCTATATCTAATAATATGGTATAGATTACTTTGAAACCTTTGCTCTAGTAGCTAGGCTTTCTACTATATGTATTATATTAGCCTTAGCGGCTAAATATGGGCTCTATATTTAGTAAATAGACGTCTAAATAGCCTTCCTTTATAGGGAATTAGAAGAGGAGTATTATATGAAATAATCTCCTGGTTTTATTAAAGGTACTAACCTGATTTGCTACTTACGAAAGAGTATTTACGGGTTAAAACAAGCCCCTAGGGTTTGGAATTAGGTAATCGATGGTTTTTTCCGTATTATTGGTTTCCTGAGATCGCTTTATAATCTAGCCCTATATATATTCCAAGAGTACGAGGTTAATTAGCTATTTTTTCTGATTGTTATTTACGTAGACAATATGATTATTATTAGTAAAAGTATGGCTCAAATTAATAAAATCAAGGAGCAACTCTATTAGAAATTCGATATAACTGATTTGGGAGAAATTAAAATGCTCCTAGGCATGGAAATCGTTTATTTTTAGGACGGTTCTGTGTTCCTGTACTAAAACCGATATCTTATAGATATGCTTTAAAGGTATTAAATAGAAGGTTCTACCCCTATTTCCATACTAATAGCTTAAGCTACGGTTCTAAAAGGGGAAGATATTAATATTATAGAATATTAGAGTCATACGGGATTACTTATATGGCTATCCCTAGTATTAAGACCCGATTTTTGCTATGCCGCTGGGTATTTGGGACGTTCTAATTCCTGTCCTAAAGCCTCCTATAGCTCTGTACAGAAGCGTATAATGCGATATATTAAGGGATCGCTTAATATGGGTATTCTATATGATGCTTTATCTAAAGAAGGACTTATTAGATACTTAGATACCGATTATGGAGGCGATTTATAGGACCGTAAATTAATCTCCGGTATGGTTTTTACCCTATTTGGTGGAGTAATTAGCTGGGCTAGTACTAAATAGAAAACTATAGTAACTACTACTATGGAAGCGGAGTATATCGCCCTTATTCCGGTAGTTAAAGAAGCCCTATGGCTAAAGTAATTGTTTGAAGAAATATTGATTCTTATGGGACTAATCGAGCTAAAAACGGACGCTCAGGGAGCTCTTGATTTAGCTACGAACGTATGATTTTCTCAGAAAACCAAGTATATTAATATCAGATATTATTTTATTAGGGACCACATTAATACTAAGGATATTGAGCTCAAGCATGTTCCTATATAGGAAATGACGGCCGATATTCTCACCAAACTATTGGCTAGACCCGCTTTTAAATTGCTATGTTTAAAGCTAGGTATTATTAGCCTTATTGATATTAAACCTCGACTGTAAGGAGGAGGCGTATTGAACTAGCTAGCTTGGCTAGTATTCTTTCTTTCCACTCCAGGTTCAACCACTAATTTAGTTCGTCCGATTATTGGGTATTACTTATGTACGAACACACTAATTGTTTATTAGTATTGCCATTCGATTACGTTTCTTAAACGTGTATTCAGGAATTAGATTAGTAAATCGTTCCCACCACCAAGTAAGTGCGGGGTAAATTATATGGTAGGGTGGAAATCAGGAATATAGCTAGGGAACCCATTCCCTCTGTTTTTTATGGAATCACTCTCCTGTATCTAGTCAAAACTAGTCATTCTATAGATTGTCAATCTCTAATATATCGATTTTCCACTGATAAATCGATCCCAGTTCAATAACCCCGCCTCCTCGATTTTCCAAGTCAAAGTACAAAAACCACTATTTTTACTAATAACTTTCTACTTATTAATCTAGACCATAAGCTATATACCTTAAATTAATTAGTGCCTCACAGAATTTAATATCTGAAGAGCTTTTATATTATATATTATTTTTGAGAGTATAGTTAATAGGTTTAATGAAATTCCCATAGAAAATTTATAATAAAATTACCTTTTTCTTAATAATTTTTAATTACTTATTTTTAATAAAAGCCATATAGCTCAAATTAACTATATTGTATCTAATTTTAATATTCAGAGAGGATTTATAATTTGAATTATTTTTAAGAATATAATTAGTATTTTTAGTAAAAATCACATAAAAATATATAGGAAAATCGCCCTTTTCTTAATAACTTTTTAATAACTTATTTGGAGTAAGAGCCATATAGCTTAAATTAATTATATTATATCTAATTTTAATATTTAGAAAGGGTTTATGATTTGAATTATTTTTGGGAGTATAGTTAGTGATTTTAATGGAATTTAGTAGAAAACTATCAATTTACCCAATTACTTATAGTAGTAAACGACTACCGGGCTTGGGTATTAATGCTGTTAGTAATAAATAGATACCTAGGCTATCTATAATTCGATTAATTTACTTCTTAATCAGGAGTCGTGGTTGTTGAGTAATTCGCGATTCAGTAATATTTGGTTCATTTACGATGCGGCTCCCCACACGATTTTTGGTGTTCGCTAAAAAATCGATTTTAAAGCTAGTTTCGCATGCGGCTGTATCAACTGCGACGACGGTTCGCTACCATGATGGGAAATAGATTTTCGTTTCGAAAGCTTCCAACATTCTTCCTCTGATTTGGTTAAGTTTTTCGTCTTCTCGGGTGCTGTTTGATGAAGCGCCAGAAGGTCGGAGCCGTAATTGGGCGAATAAAGTTGGTGTTGGTAATATTGGTGTTCTTCGGTTATGGTGATAGGTGGAAATGGTGCTAGACCCTATTGTTCTCCTCCCCTCCTTGAACAAAGCGCTCATCACTAGTTGGATAACACCACACGGGTACAGAATAAGGCAGGGGCGTCTGGCCAGTCCGGACTCTCTAAATCACTAGACGTTTCCTAATTCGGGGCCATTGACGAGATCTTGGCGTGGCGTTATCAATTGTGATAGCGTTTTGTTCAAGGAAGAGGGGATAGTAGAGCCTCACTGGCTGTCAGCCCTTTTTCCAGTCCCTAAGAATCCTTCAAAAATAACCTTGACAGGGATATAAATCCTTCGAAGCCCGCGAAAAGGGAGGGGCCGGTTCTAGGCTTCTAGACCCCAAAGGAAACCGCGATGCAAGCGGCCTTCCGAGCGGCCTTTCCTCCTTCATCCCTTAAGATACTTCGTTCCATGTTGGATGCCCTGTCCAAATCTAAACTCTTTCTCACCCATAAAAACACACTCGTCAAAACTGACCGCATGAAAAATTTAACTATGGATACCTTTCGAGTTCTAACACGCCTAATAGCAGCAGCCGTTCTTATGTCAGGTGCCAATGCACTGTCGATCACTACTCAACCTCCGTGGTTCCAGGGATATTGGATAGAAAATGATCTCACAAGTATGTAGTTATTTACCAACTAAAACACTTCTACATTGAACCCGCTCTCATGAATCTTGATTAACGCTTTATAGCTTCTACATTAAGCTGTGCTACCAGCGAGACGTTCCTCACCTACCTTCACTATGCAACATGTTGTGACACTGCACTTGTAGCAACAGGACTATGTCTACCAGCTACAGAATGTCTAGGACACATCTTGACGAAACAAGGAGGTTCCACGTCCAACTGGTAAGTACTACAAATCTCACTCTCCAATGTGAACTAGGCACTAATCAAATACGTTGACACAGTGGATCCTCATATTCTTGTGCTACCATAGATATATTCCAAACTTCACCAGTGGGAGGCCAGATACCTATAACAAACGTCGTATGCGCTACCGGCTGGTCAGCATATACAATATTCCAAGACCTTCCTACCACAACTTCGACTAGTTCGTCAAGTATGTATAATTCTTCGTTTCCAAAAATTGGATCAAGTAATACGTACACTCGTATACTAACCCGCAACCAGGTACTCCTACAGCTTCTTCGGTCACATCAACAACTCCCTTCTCAAAGGGTTCCTCCCCAGCTGCAACACCAACACCCACTCCAACCCCCCATTCCTCAAGCAAAGCCTGGGTAGCAGGTGCAGTTATCGGACCCCTCGCTATTACAATTGCTCTCGGTGTCTTCGGGTTCTGGATTGGACGTCGCAGGGCAAAGGCCACCGCGTTGGAAGCAGTACCAAGATATAATCCGGTTTCAAAGTCACAGGCAGGAACCTCAGAGTCGAGATGGTCTCCGTATCCACTATATGAGCTTGAGAGTGATGAGAGATAGAGCGTGGTACCCGTGCCAGGGAGTGAGGGAAGACACAGCATGAGAAGGATTCTACAGTCAAAATTATCGTCATGAAATATTCCGTCTTGAAAATGTTCCAAAATAAAGCATTTGGACAGTCCCTGGCCATATTATTTGCTATTAACATCAATCGATTATACAAGTCTTCGTGGCCAGCTCAAGTGCCTTCAAACCTAGATAGAAATAACTCGTGGATATAACGTCTAATACAATCTAACATCCTAATTTGTCCTGTGACTCAAGATGCTCCATGAGATCCATACTTCCCTAACAACCCTTTTACCACTCTCACATTTTCCTTCTAGTACCCCTCCTTCGCTTCCTTGTCCAAACCATCCGGTCTCCACTCTGCCTTCATAAATAGCCCAAACCGGAACCACTCTAAAAACACCCTTATTACTTTACTCCCATTCCATATCCTCTATTCCAGGATTGCACCCCAAAAAGCATTATATAGCTTATTAGTATAAGTATACTTAGTACTAAACCCGTTAGGTACAGATTCCCTAAAAAGCATCTCGATAATATAGTAGAGTAAGGTATAAAGAGTACTAGTAACAAACTTCCAGTCAATAATTGCCTTAATACTAGTAGGTATAGTAGGTAATAAAATGATATTATAAGGCCCTATATCGGAGTAGATAGCTACTATAGGAATATTTTTAATAATTATAGGAATATTATATATACTATTTTTTATAAAGCCTGTAACTTGTTATAAGAATCGTACTTTATACTTATTAATATCCTATTACTATTTGAAGGCACTTAGGGAGGAGCTAATATAGGTATAAAGATAATTACAGACAGAGGCAAAAGGCCTGCCAAGGCTATATTACTAGTCTGGACTAATATTAAAGATAATACAATTACTGGCTTGGGTAATATAGAGTTTGCTAATAAGGCACTCTTTAGAGAGGGAGATATATCAGGTAGCCTGTAATACAAGGGCTATATTTCGGACAAATACTAATTTCTTCTCATATAATATATATAGGTAGACGGAATTAGCTATTAAACCTGGTATTAGCTATATTATTTGTTTACCTATTCCAATTATTACTTGCCACTGCTTTTTGCCGGAGATAGGATATATAGTAAGGAGGGAAAGGATACTCGGGTTAATAGTCGAGGAGATTAGGCTTATAAGGAGGTTTATTAAGGTAATATTTCCGTAGTAATATAGCTATATAATATATTAAATATCTAGGTCTTCTTTAATTAGAACTTTATATAAAATACTAAGAGCCTTATTTATAAACCTTAAGAATATCTTTAAATAATAACCTATTATTACTAAAATAACCTTTTAAAGCTCTGCTTCTAAAAAATATATAGGCCTCAGAGTTTGAATCTTATATAATATCCTATTAATATTTATATAATACTTATTAATAGGCTAGCTTGTACTATTTTTCTTCTCTAAAGTAGTAATTCAGGAAAAGGAACTCTTAATTATTCCGAAAAGGAAATAAGATATTTCTTTACTACTAGATAAATCTATAGCTTTAGAGAATATATATATAATAAGAATAGATATTGCTTTATCTTAAGATATATTATTTTATAGGATAGTTATTATTTATTATAAGATTATATAGAGTTAAAAGGTAAATAGGTAATAGTATTAGGCGAATTATTTAATTAATAATAGTTTAGTAAAGTAGATATAAATATCAGATTAGCTAGTATAATAGGGATATAAAATACGGAGTAATATAAAGTATAGAATAGGCTTCTATAGTATGGGATTATAGCATATGAGAGTGAGGCGTGAAATTAGAAAATAAAGGTTAGTTGATTTCTGTCACGTGCTACGCACAGGCGTATATATAGCTTCTTCACCGCCCTTAGGGCACGATCATTCATACATATATTTACACAAACACACCCACATTCCACTTCCACAGCTTGTCCAGGACGTGACATGGTAGCAATGCCCTAAGATTTCGACCTCCATATCGATACCTTAGTATCCTACAATTAATCGACCTCCAAATCGATACCCCACCTATAAGATCTCGACCTCTATCGATACCTTGCGAGCTCTTAATTGAGTACTCGACCCCATTTACGCTATCCTCCAGAATGGCCCCCAATCATATTGGATATTTTGATCCAGAAGGTGTGGCTACGACCGGAAAGACGGTGGTTTATATAGACGTTTTCGCATTTACGCACATGCTCTTATACTTGGCAGAGACTCAGCAAGACGATATTCGTACAGCCTTTCCCCTCTGCCTTCGTGGTACTGCTCTCTTCTGGTACTCCACTGAGCTTACACCCCTGGAACGTCGTCTCCTCTCGTCCGTTCCTGTCTCTGGGATTTGCACTTCTCTTATTTCACGATTTAAACCCCCTCAGCGATTCAACCAAAAGGATGCCTTACAGATACCCAAATACAACAGATCGTTCAAGTGGTTCAGCAGATATAAAAGCTAAAAAGGCGGGAAGAGATTCTTAATAAGAACTAAATACTAAATCTAGCTTTTTTTATTTTTATAATATTTAATTATATAGCTAAAAAAGAAAAGAATATTATTAGTTAAATCTTTATTTATAAAATTAATAAAAAGCTTAATGCTTAAGAAAAAGAAGCTATTTCTAGCCTAAAAAATTAATAATTAAAAGAAATAAAGCTTTAGTAATTCTAAAAAATATTATTCCCAAAATTCAAGAAATATATTTTTATTTTTTTTAAAAAAGAATCTAATACTTTTCTTTTTTATAAATTATATAATTATAAGATTTAGATTAAAGGCCTAAAAAGAACTAAAAGTATTAGATATTAATTTCTCTAGTAATAATCTATTTAAAAGTTTCTAAAAATTAAGTATTTCTTAAAAGATAATCTAGCTAAAAATTTTATTAAAGCTAATTAAACTTTCTTTACTTTATTAGTTCTTTTTATAAAAAAAGTAAATAAAAATTAATACTTTCATATTAATTTTTATTATTTAAAAAAATATTTCTTTTTATTTATTAATAAGACTTTAAATTAATTATCTAAAATTAAAATTTATATTAAATTAGATATTTATTAAACTTTTTATTATATAATTATAGATCCAAAATCTTAAAAACTAATAATATTTTATATTTACTATAAAGTATATATATATAATTTTTTTAGAAAGGCTTTATAAATAGCTTAATTATATATTAATATTATATAAATAATATATTTTTTAAATAACTTTTATATAATATTTTAATTTATTTAAAAAATTTAATAAAATATAAATAATATATATAAAAAGTACTAGATTATTTATATTTTATTAGCCTTAAATAAATATTAAAAAAATTAAAAATTAAAAATATATATATAAAGTATTTAGGCTTTATTATTTTTATATCTAATATTAAAATAATATATAATTAGTAATTCCCAAAAATAATTAAGAATATATAGTTTTTTCTTAGTTTTTATAATTTTTATAAATACTTTATTAAAGAATATAAATAGATTATTAGATAAATCTTTTATTTTAATTTATTAAAAAGAATATTTTTTTAAGTAATTTAAGTAATATTGAAAGATTTTTAATTATTTAAAAAAAAGCTATAATTTCTATTTTAGTTCTATAATATTATAATTTAAATTTGCCTATAATAATAGAAATAAATATATCTAAAAAAGTAATTATAGGCTTATTCTTTTAATAAAATCTAAAAATAGGCCTTTAATATTTTATAGCTTATTTTTTTAAAATTATACTTTTAATAGAACTTAATTATAATATATATAATAAAGAAATATTTATTATAATATAAGTTTTAAAGAAATAAAAAACTAAGCTAAAAGGCTTTTAAGATATTTTCTTTAAGGTTTATTCTAATTATTATATTTTAGAATATTTTATAATTATTAAAAAACTTTCTTCTTAATAAATTAGATAAGCTAAGCTTTTATTTTATTATTATTTTAAGCTTATATATTATTTCGGAAAATTAAATAAGCAAGTAAATACTTTATTATAAAAATAAAATAAAATAAATATTTAAGGCTAAATTAAAGAAAAGCTATAAACTTAAATACTTTTTCCTAAAATAAGATTAATTTAAAAATTATCTATAACGTATAGCTTATAGTAATACTTTATAAAATCGGTTTATTTAATTCGAAATTTAGTTCTAAAAATCAAATATATATTAAAGACTTTTTAAAGAAATATATTTTTATTAAAAATATAATTTTCTTAAAAGAAAATATTTTCTTAATAACTTTACTAATAGCTTTTATTATAATTACTCTTATAAAAGTATTATTAAAAACTTTTATTAAATATAATAGTTTATAATTAATTAATAAAATTCTATAAAATAATTATTTATTATTGAATTTAGAAAAGCTATATATAATAGCTTAAACTAAAAGTAATATCTAAATATTATAAAATAGCTTTTTTTTATATTATAGAAAACTTTATATTATAAAAAATAAAATAATTCCCGGATTATTTTTATAAAGTATATAATAAATTTCTTTCTGAATATTTTAAATATATAAAGCTCTATTAATTACTTAAAGAATAATATTATTAGTTATTTATAGGCAAGAATATTATTTAATATTATAATAATTATTATACTTATAAAAAATCGCATATATTAAGAAATAAAAAGCCTGATTTTTTATTTTTTTTCAATTTCTAATTACTTTTAATAATATATTATTATAGACTTTAAGAGTTATCTAAAAAATAAAATAGGTTATAATATAATTACTATACTTATAAATTACTTATTTAAATACCTAGTTATAATTTCCGTATAAAATATAATTATAATTAAATCGCTAATACTTTTATTTCTATTTTATATAATATATTAAATAAATATTTGAGAAATAATTATCTTAGATTAGAAACCCTAATTTATATTTAATTTTTAAAGTAAACTTTATATAAGAATTAGTATTAAACTCAAGCTTTTAATAGCTAATTACTTTTAAATAAATAAATAAAGATTATTTATTAGTACTTTAATTAGAGATTATATTTATATATTAATTATTACTAAAATAACTAGAATAAATAAATTACTATAATTAATTACTAATAAGCCTTTCTTTAGTATATAACTATTAGCTAGTTTCTATTTATAACTAAAAAGGGCTATAAGCCTTATATTTCTCTGAATTAGAACTTCTTTACTAAAGCTAGTTTATTTAAGGAAAAGCTAAATAAGAATAAAACTAAAATATTAGTAAATTAATTATATGAATTATAGTAATTTACTTAAGATTATATAAAGTAAATATAGAAATAATATGCGATATAAGCTAATAAATATTACTATTTAATTAATTTCAAAGTCGGAAACAAAGTATAAGTTATTATAAAGTACTAGAAATCTAATTATTTGAACTAAAAGCTAGAAAACTAAATAAAGAATTCATTTGAGATTTTAGAAAAGCATAGCTACTTATTTCTCTTAAAGCTATTAGAAGCTATAAAGATATATCTAGTTTTTTATATAAAGAAGTTATAAAAGAACTTTTAGAATTCTTTATTAAGTTAAGTAAATCCGGAACTACTTTTATTAGTATTAGAAAATAATAAGAATATAGTATTAAATGAATTATTATAATTAAGCTAGTAAGAAATAAGCTAAAGTATAAAATCCAGTAAATCAATTAAAATAAAGATCTAGTATAATATCTAGCTTTAGTATTAAATAATAGCCTTCTAATTTTATAATACTTTTATAATAATAATATTAATATATTAAGACTTTTATAAAATTTGTAATATTAGCTAGATTATATAAAAAATAATAATAAATCTTCTTAAGTTATATATTAAAGATAATTGCCTTTTATATATAATATTTGTATATAATATATTAGTTTATTTAAGAATTAGAAAAGAAACTAGTATAAAATTAAATGAATTAATAGCTTTTATAAAGCTTAAGAATAAGCTTATTTTAAAAGAGGAAATAATATTATAATTTAGCTTTTAATCTTATTAGCTAATATAATTACTTAATTATTATTCATGTCTTATTACTTCCTAAATATATATAATATAGCTGCTTTATTAGAGAAATATATTTGAAATATTCTAGAGATATTTAGAAAACTAAGCCTCTTATAAACTAGTATACTATAAGATATATATATTCCCTTATAGCTTTCTATATTCTAGTTTTCCCTTTTTTAGCTTTAAATTATTTTTATAAAGAACCTTTTATTTTACTTTTCAAGCTTTAAATACTATATTTAAAATATTTATAATAAAGTATTTACTTATTTATTTAAACTTTTTATAATAACATATAAGCTTAAAATAATAATAAAATAAAAGCTTAGCTTATTTAACTTATTTAAAAGAATGCATTTTAGTTATTATAAAGTACTTTAAAATATAATAATTAAAATAAACCTAAAAAAATATTTTAAAAGCTTTTTAGCTTTATTTTTTAATATATATATTATAATTAAGCTTTACTAATAATATAATTTTGAAAAAGTAAACTATAAGGTAATAAAAGCTAATTTTTAAGTATTATTAAGAAAATAAACTAGTAATTATTTCTTTAAATATATTTATATTTATTATTATAAGTAAATTCATATTATAATATTATAAAACTAAAGCAAAAAATTATAGTCTTTTTTAATATTATTTAATTTATTTAAGATAAATATCTTTTTTATAAATAGAATAAAAAATCTAATAATTTATTTATATTTTTTAATAAAGAATTTATAAAAGTTATAAAAGCTTAAAAAGAATTATGTATTTTTAATTACTTTTTCTAAAGTTACTAATTATATATTACTTTAATTTTAGTGAGATTTATTTTAATATTAGTAATAAAAATAATTTAATACTTTTTATATTTTATTAAATCTTTTAAATAAATAAAAATATTATTAAAATATATAATATAAAAGTTATTTAAATATTTAAAAGATATATTATATTAATATATAATTAAGTTATTAATAAGGCTTTCTTAGAAAATATTATTAATTTCTTAAAATTCGAATTTATATTTATATAATAAATGGCTTAATATAAATCTTGACTTTAAATAATTAGCTTAAAGTTTTATTAATAAGTAAAAATTAATAATAAAAATTAATATAAAAATATAAATTTATATTTGCTTTTATTATAAAGAATATTAATAAAATAAAGAAAGTTTATTTAGCTTTAATAAAGCTTTTTTAAGTTATTTTTTTAAGAAATAGTTAATTTCTTAAAACTTTTAAATAAATTATTATTAGAGAAATTAGTATTTAATACTTTTAGTTTTTTTAAATTCTTAATTTAGATTTTATAAATATATATTATTTATAAAATAAAAGTATATTTTTTAAATTTTAAAAGTAATATTTTTTAATATTATTAAAGCTTTATTTTTTCTAATTACTAGTTCTTTAATTTAATTTTTTTTTTAAGCTTTAAGTTTTTTATTAATCTTATAAATAAAAATATTTAAATTTAATATTTGCTTTTTATTAAAAGT